ATGTCCATAGTTTGTTTTTTCATGTTGCAACACAAAGAAAATCTGTATTCTTTGCCATTTTAACAATTATTACTTCCATGGGCAGCACAGTGGCTAAATGGTTAGCACTTCCGACTGGCAGTACTAGCGTCGTTGGTTCGACTCCCAACCATGGCACCACCTGCTTGGAGCTTGCATGTTCTCCCTGTGCCTGCATGGGTTTACTGTGGGTACTCCAGTTTCCTCCCACACTCCAAAGACATGTTGGTAGGTTAATTGGCTCCTGTCTAAATTGGCCCTGGTATGTGTATGTATGAATGTAAGTTAGGGACCTTAGATTGTACACCCCTTGAGGGCTAGGGACTGATATATATGTAAAGCGCTGTGTAAATTGACAGCACTATATAAGTACCTGAAATAAATAAATACATTTTAGCAGTGTCTGTCCCAACAAGGGGTTAAAAGATTTAGAAGTTGGCCTCCTACATTGTATGTTAATGAGTAATAGTAATCCACTTTAGATCTTTGTGGAAAGTGAAATATGGACATGGTGGGGTTGATTTACTGAAGCAATACAATAGCTTTTCACTTAAAAAAAAAAAAAAATGCGGGGGCTCTTGAGCAGGTTGAGGAATGGCTGCTTTTTAAACCCAGCTGCTTAACCACCGCCACATCGGCCGATTTTTTAGCTCTCAAGGGGGGGGGGGATTTCTGGCCTTCCCTCCAACCTCTCCTGGCCCCCTGTCCCTGGTGCCCTGATGGGGAAAAAAATCAGCCACCTCCCGCGCTTCCAGCATCTGGGAGACCGTTTCAAAGTTTGCGGCCTACCCGCCGGAGATCGCGGGTGAAGCCGTGGCCTCGATTTTTGGCCTGCCGCCGGAGAGTTCCAGAGCCCCGGCCCGCGGGAACTGTCCTCCGCTACCTCCAAGTTTGCTGACCAACTTTCGCGTGAAATTCGAGAGTTGGGCAATCGGACGAATGATCTTGAGGATAAAATGGATGCTGCGGCCACGGTCATTGAAGGTCACGAGCAGGACTTGTGTGACCTCAAGAAAGAATTAGCGGACACGCTGCTCCGACTTGAGGATTTCGAGAACCGTTCCCGTCGCTGCAATTTGCGGTTAAGGGGTATACCTGAAACAGTCACAGATCTCACCTCCACCGCTACTGCTCTGTTTCAGGAGCAGATGCCCGCCATTCCCATCGACCGGCTTGAATTTGACCGCATTCATTGTGCATTGGGCCCCAGATGACCGGATAGGCCCCCGAGGGACATCATCATCAAGTTCACTTTCTACCGCACTAAGGAAACTATCCTCTTGGCGGCCAGAAGCAAACCAGACCTCAGATTCCAGGGACATCACTACCAGCTCTTCACGGACTTCTCCCAGACCACTCTGCAGAAGCGTCATCAGTTGAAGCCCTTCACTTTGATCCTGGTGAACCACAGAATTAAATACGCTTGGGGCTTTCCGTTCCGCCTCACCTTCAACTACCAGGGCCGCAGTCATTCTGTTGTTACGCTGGGAGAGACCAATTCGCTCCTGGAATCTTTGCATCTTCTTCCACCGGAGGCCGCTGCTCAGAGACCGGCTCACTCAAGTGGATCCCCAGCGAGGCCACTTCCACCGGGCTGTCTCTGGGAGCGGTTGTCCAACAGGAAGAGGGCCCTCCTTCAGACCCCTCAACGATCAAGTCCGTCCTGCTCTTCTCCAGGCTGAGACTGTATCTTGGATCTCCCGCGTTGTGTTTTCACCGTTGGACTTTCCTTATGGGACTGTGAGTTTGGCCCTTAGGGCTTTTCCAGTTGTTAGCATTCCAGGCTAGGCCTGATCTGACCCATTCCCTTGGGTTCCATCACTGAATGTGGGAGAGGGTCCCATTCTGGACTTGCGGATTAGGACTTTTTGCTTTCTTGGCATACTACGGGTGCCGTTGTTCGGGTTCCCGTTTGGGTATGAGGTTCCCTTAGGCTCTGGGGTGGGAGGTAGGCCTGATCAGGTGTTGGCCCTATTGGGAGGTGGGGGACCACTTGGGCTGTGTAGTGGTTCTACAGTGGCCTGTAGCCGTCCTCCTGATGGGGGTTGGCCCCCTAGTTTAGCTGGGTTTTCTATCGGGAAGTTACTGCGGATGTGTTCACTTCTGGGACTCTTAGTTTATTACATTGGTATCCCGGTATACTGTGTTTATTGCCTCTTTGCCCCCTGAGGGCTTATGTTTTTGATGTTTTCATTTGCAGCCATGTGTCCGATGGTAGAGCCACCCCCAACCCGTATCCTTCAGGTGTAGAAGGATGCATGTCACCATTGACGTGACACGTTTGTACTGCTGTATATTATTTCTTGTTTCTTTTTTTTCTCCCTTCTTTTCTTTTCTGTTTTTTTTTGTTTTATCCTCATGCAGGGTCTCGGGATGCCATGGTCCGAACGCCATTGGGAATAACTGTTGGCCGACCTATGCTTTTTCTGCTGAGCGTGCTGTGCTGATACCGCCATGGCCTCACTCCTTCTCAAAGTATACTCACAAAATGTTCAAGGTTTCAATTTGCCTCAGAAGCGGGCTAAAGTTTTTCATCACCTCAAATCGCAATAAATTGACGTGCTATGTTTACAGCAGACCAGGTTTTCCCAGTCCTCTGCTCCGCAGTATCTTTTCGCCTCACTTTTCCACCTTTTACACGGCCTTGGCCCCTGAGAAACGCCAATAGCTTTCAAGCGCAATCTTCCTTTTGTCTGTGCTTGGAATATAGCGGACTCCACGGGTAGGTACTTGCTTCTGCAGGGCACCCCCTGGGATCAGGAGGTTACCTTTGTCTCTTACTATGCACCCAATCGCTTTCAACATAAATTCTTTTCTCATCTTTGCACCATTGTAAATGGTCTCCTTCTTCTTTTGGGAGATTCCAATGTTACCTTGGATTCCACATTGGATAGGCGCTATGCCCAGGGGGTGGCCCCTTCTCACGACTTAGTGCTAGAGGAACGTATGCGCTCTCTCTTGCGGACAGCGGGGCTAATGGACGTCTGGAGGGAACTCCACCCAACTGAGCGCGACTTTACATTCTATTCCAACCCTCGTGACAGTTTTTTGTAGAATTGACCATATATTCATGTATGTCCAGCAGCTTCCTTTGGTCAGGCGGATAGCTATTCCCTCCTCGCCCTGGTCGGACCATGATCCCCTGGTACTCCTCCTGGCCCTTTCTGGGTCAGTATGGCACCCCTTTCACTGGCGCATTAATGATTCTTAATTGACCACTCAGGTCACCTGCCAACACATAGAATCTTTCTTACGCACATACTTCGCGGAAAACTCTGGATCTGTTTCTTCGGCAGTACCCCTGTGGGAGGCGCACAAAGCCACGGGGCGGGGTCAGGTTATACAGCTGGCGGCGGTTCGGTAGCGGGAATAGGGGCGCCGACATTTGAAGCTTCATTCTCTGTTGGCCTCTGCGGATGTTCGTTGGAAGTCATTCCCATCCATGGCCCATAAACATGCTTGAGATGCCCTGGCGGCAGAGTTGGACCTACTCGCCTCTTCAGAGGCGGAACGGGCCCTGCGTTGCGCCAAACATAAATTTTATTCCTGTGCTAATAAGCCTGGTCCAATACTGGCCAGGAAACTCAATTCCGTGGGGAAACCCCATAACTGATCCGATTGTGACTTCCCGTGGGTGGCTATACTTCTAATCCCCAGCAGATTGTCTCTCATTTCGCGGACTTTCTTTCACGCCTTTACGCCAAACCAGATTCCTTCCCTGTGGCTCAGGCAGAGGCATTCTTTCAAGACCTCCAACTTCCTGGACTATCTGAGGCAGCGCAGAAGGCCCTCAACGTCGGTGTCACCGTACCGGAAGTGCTCCAAGCTATTAAATCTCTACGGTCTACCGCGCCCCCAGGTCCAGACAGCTTTCAGGTCACCTGCCAACACATAGAATCTTTCTTACGCACATACTTCGCGGAAAACTCTGGATCTGTTTCTTCGGCAGTACCCCTGTGGGAGGCGCACAAAGCCACGGGGCGGGGTCAGGTTATACAGCTGGCGGCGGTTCGGTAGCGGGAATAGAGGCCGGACTCTATTATAAGAAATTTGCAACCCTGTTAGCACCCTTCTTGGCTGACTATTTTAATGAGTTACGACAGGGCTCATTGCCCTCTCCAGACGTGCTTAGAGATCAAGTTTCCATGATTCCTAAGACGACTGATGATGTGCAGGAACCGCAAGCCTTTCGGCACATTTCTCTTCTTAATGAAGACCTGAAGATATTGGGCAAGATTCTTAGCTTTCGTATCAATAAATACTTGCGTAGCCTGATCCACAGAGACCAAGTCGGTTTCTTCCCTGGGAGACAGGCGGGTGATAATGTTCGTAAGGTGGTCCATCTTATACATTTTCTACAACAGCGGAAAATACCGGGATTCTTACTGCCCTTAGACATATATAAAGCCTTTGATTCTCTATCCTGGGAATATCTACAGTTTGTGCTGTCTTGCTGGGGTTTTGGGGACTCTATTCTTTCTTGGATTCAAGCCTTGTATTCTTCCCCTTCGGCATCCATTAAATACGCTGGATATTTCTCAGATCCCTTTCCTATTTGGCGAGGTATGAGACAGGGATGCCTCATGTCCCCGGCGCTCTTTGTCCTGGCACTTGAGCCGTTGGCTATGGCGCTCCGGACTGATTGTAATGTATCGGGGGTTCCATACGCAGGACAGGAGTTCAAGTTGAACCTTTTTGCAGATGATGCCCTCTTGACTCTCACTAATCTCCTGACGACGCTTCCAAATTTGCAACAGGTTCTTGAGCGCTTCTCTTTGATTTCGGGTCTCTGTATCAATTTGAATAAGACTGTCGCGCTTAATATTACTTTGGCCTCAGATCTGGTTTTGCGCCTACAGTCCCACTTCCCTTATAAATGGGCCTCTTCTTCTCTTGAATACCTAGGCATTCGCTTGACCCCCACCTATGACTCACTGTTTACTGCAAATTACTATCCATTGCTTTACTCTGTGTCCTCTCTTATGCATTCTTGGCAATTTACGCACCTGTCATGGATAGGACGGATTAATTCAGTGAAAATGACCATCTTGTCGAAATTGTTATACTATTTTCGCACCCTCCCAGTGCGGGTTCCTCCCAATTTCTTTCGGTTGGTTCAGGCGAAGATTATGCGTTTTATCTGGGCCGATAAACACCCCAGAGTTTCCAGAACTACGCTTTTTGTCCACAGACTCCAGGCTGGCCTTGGGGTTCCCAATGTAACTAATAATATTATCAGGCGAGCCAGATTGCCCCACTATCTATGTTGCATGCTTCCTCAGACATACCTCTCTGGGTCCTGCTGGAATTACCTAATTGTGCCCCTATTGCAATTTCGACACTTCTATGGCTTCCCCCTGCCCTGCGCCCCATGGCACTGAGTCCGATTTTGCTCCATGGCTTACAAGTGTGGGACTCGGTACGTTACTCCAGTGGCCTAATGTCACCTTTCTTGCCTTTGCTCCCGATTACTAACAACCCCCTCTTTTTACCGGGTTTAGATCAACCAAGGGCGTTTTCTTGGTGGGTGGCCAATGGTTTTTCACAAGTACGACTGTCAGGGCTCCCGGGTATGACCAGAGGTGTGTGACTGACGCAGGGAAACGCAGACTTCAGATATGTTATAAACAATGTAATTTATTAACACTAACCATACAAACATAAACGCAGTGCAATACTAAAACATAACACAGTGCAAACAAACCAACCACCCACAGATAACAGTACATACAATGCAAGCGTCGTCAGGCAGGCCGGGTCAATATCAGTCGGGCAGGTAGGTACAGGGGGAGCAAGCGGAGAATGGTCGGGGTCACAGGCCAGGTTCAGCAGGTAGCGGGCAGCGTGGTACAGAGGGTCAGGCAGAGGAGAATGGTCAGACAAGCCAGGGATCAGAGCAGGGTCAGCAGAGAATCAGACAGGAACAGAGAGCAGGAACAGGATACAGGGCCCAAGAGAAACACAACACCAAGGCAGAGTCTGCAGGTCTGAATGTCCCTTAAATACACCAGTATAATTAGTTCCAGGTGTTTGACTGGCTGCAAGGTTGAGTCTCTGATTGCTGGGAGCACCCGCTGGCCAGCCCTGGTACTGCAGCTCATAAGGCAGCTGAGTCCCACTATTGCTGGCCAGTCCATTCCTGACAACGACACTTTTTGACCTCTCGGTCCTTCCCCACCTGGTATTCTTACCTTCAACTGCGGCATTGGTTGCTCTCATTGCGGGGCACTTCTGTTTTTCCATACCAGAAATCTGCCTTTGAACTGCTTTGCCAACAGCGTCCGAGCGCCCCGGGCCTTATCTCTCTTCTTAATGCAGCCTTGAATAGACGCTTGTTGCATACTTCTCTTTCATATGTTGTTCAGTGGGAGCGCGACCTGGGAGTGGTTGTGGATCCGGAGGACTGGAATAGGGCCTAGTCGCTTGTAGCTAAATGCTCTTTTAATATGACCACGCTGGAGGCAAGGTTGTATTAAACAACAACAAGGTGTTGTTTCGTTGGTATTGGGTTCCGGCTTGTTTGGCACAGGCGAACCCTGCCTGCAGTGATCGATGCTTTCGGGGTTGTGGCCATCGTGGTGATGTATTGCATATCTGCTGGTCATACCTGAGGCTGCTTCGTTTTTGGTCTCGTGTGTTTGGCCTCCTTTTCACCTTGTTCTATCTTTCTATACGACGGGATGCTCGGTATGCTTTGCTTCATTGTCCCATACCGGGCCTCTTGGCTCACCAACAGAAGTTGACTTCCTGTTTGTTTTTGTCGGCCTCTAGAACAATTGCTCAGGCCTGGAAGAGCCGTTTGTCCCTCTTCAGGGGGTGCAGCAGGACCGTATGACCGCTATGATGCTCAATGAACAGATGTCGAGTATCTGCAATGACTCCCAATGTAAATTCTTGAAAATATGGGAGCCGTGGTTGCAATATACCTTTCCCACGCTCCCCCCGGCTAGCTTGGGGATGTGATGTTGTTCGGCTTTGGCGTTCTTGGATCCCTGCTCTTGGTTTGGCTATCCTTTTTTCTTTTGTACTTCTCCTTCCTTTCCCCCCTTTTTTTCTCTGTTTGCTTTGGTGTGGCAGTGGATAGCTGCCTTTAGTCTGAGTTATTATCAGTGTTATATTTATGTTTTGTTATTTAAGTGCCATTGATGGCCCCTGCGTGGGCGTATCTTTTGCCCTGTTGGTGTTAGAGCACTGATTTCTCTAATTTCTAGTTCCTCTATGTGCAATTGATAGCCCCTGAGTGGGCATGATTTGTTGCTCCTGTGTTAATTGTTCTAAATTAATAAAAACCATTGAAATACAAAAAAAAAATGCAAATCAATTTTGTAAAGTGCACAAACACTTTAGTTAACCGCTTCTCCACCGCTCTATAGCACAAATAATATATATACATGGTTTTGCATTTCCAGGTAGGGGGTGCGTGTGCCGCTCTACCCACGCCGCCATTGGTGGCTACAGCTGTTGGTCACCGGGTCCCAGACAGATATTCCTCATCGGCACCTGGCGTTCGCCGAGGAACACTGACAGGGGAGAAACCTGTGTGTAAACAACACAGATCTCTCCCCTGTCAGCACCAGCATACTGCTTTGTTTTACTCAGCATAGCAGAGCAATACAAAGCAGCATGCTTACACAATAAAACACACACAGCACACAGAGTAAAACAGCACACAGTTAACTCTTTGATCGCCCCATATGTTAACCCCTTCCTGCCCAGTGTCATTAGTAATTTTTTATTAGCACTGATCACTGTACTAGTGTCACTGGGGATGTCAGTGGCAGTTAGTCAGTGTTAGTGTCAGAATGTCCTGCAATAAGTCACTGATCACCGCCATTGCTAGTATAAAAACCATGTAAACCAATTAATTTACACGTATTTTTAGCAGAATACATTTTGGCCTACATTTATGATGAAATTTGATTTTTACAATTTTTTTTTACTGAATATATTTTATATCTGAAAGTCAAAAATATTGGTTTTTTTTTCAAAATTGTCGGTCTTTTTTTTGTTTATAACGTATATAGCGGTTTTTTTTAAAAAATGCAGACGAGATCAAATACCACCGAAAAAAAGTTCCATTTGTGAGGGAAAAAAAAGGACACAAACTTCATTTGGGTGCAGTGTTGCATATCTGCGCAATTGTCAGTTAAAATAATGTAGTGCCGTAATGCAAAAAATGGCATGGTCAGGAAGGGAGGTAAATCCTCAGGAGGGCAATTGGTTAAAGGATGCTAATGCCCTGGCAGTTTCGTCGATCCAAAGGCTTTAACACTTGTATTCTGATTTCAATACATGCATGCTGGTAACAGGCTAATGACTCAAACAACTAAAGCCATAGCAAGCCAAGCAAATAGCATTTTCAGAATGTGGTTAGCACCGTCAGTCTTCATATTTGTGTTAGTACAGACTTCTGTTAAAGCAGTAATTTACCAATCTAATTTAATATACCGCAATAACATAACCATGTGAAGCAGCGCTGTGACCTAAATAATAAATGCCAAAATTTACCATGCATGCACAACAATAATTTGTGTAAACTAAAATGGAAAGTCCCATATAACAAAACCAGTTTTCAGTGCAAAGAAAAATGTAGTCAAATCTCCTACCTACACAATCACAGTGCCACGATTCCACTCTTCCTTATCACGGCAAGTAACCGGTCTTCAATCTCCCTCAGCAGCTATTATTGCCTCTCATATAAATGATTAGCAAAAAGCACTCAAAATAGTTGTCCTCATCCTCACACTGCAGGCTCCTCAGGATCAGTTCTCATTTAAGGTGTCCCCAAGCAGATCAAAGAGCTCTTTTTGCCAATCATTTATATGAGAGGCAATATTAGCTGGTGAGTGAGATTGAGGATGGGTGCTAGGAGCTTGACTTGCGGTAATAAAAGAAGAGTGGAATCACGGCACTGTGATTGTGTTGTTGGAATCTGGACTACATTTTTCTTTGCACTGAACACTGGTGCTGTTATATGGGACTTTCCATTTTATTTTAAGGACATTTATTTGTACACAAATGATTGCTGTGCATGTGTGGTCATTTTTGGCATTTATTATTTAGGTCACCTTACATGGTTATGTGATTGTGGTATATGAGTTTTTGATTTGGTAAAAATGCAGCAGCAGTGAACTTGCATTATTAAGTTTGTTTTTACTTTATTTAGCACATATTGACACAAGGGATACTCCTTGACAAGGTAAGTGGTGTAAATTAAATAAGATTTGCAACACAAACTTATTTGTTTTTATTTAATAGTTTAGAATTTAGAATTCCGCATTCAGCAGAATTTAGAATTCAACATTTTGTGATGAAAAGTATGGTGAAAAAAATATGTAAACACTTAGGCAGTGAACCTGTATTTTACCTAAATTTTACACCAAAACACCCTTTAACAACAATTTTTTGATAAGTCGAAATGCAAGATAAGGTCATTTAGGTTTTAATAACATAATTAGTAATCTGGTATTACAGAACACAAATGTGTTATACTTACAAAGCAATTTATTTTTCAAGTTGACTGGCTGTAGCGATTTAATTTCCCCATCATCAGGAGTTCCATATTCTGTACAAAAAATGTTAATAGTTAAGATACATTTAAATAATTCATTAAAGTGGTTGTAAACCCTTAACAAAGCATATCCTCATATAAAAATGCACTTGCCTCATTCCATAGAGGCTAGTATGGCTCCTGGCTGTTCTTTCCGTCCTCTGCAATCTGCATCTATCACTCCTGACAGTTATCCCTGCAACCCAGCAATCTATGGTGATGTTCCCAAAACACAGCAAGTAATTTACAGCCTCATATGTAAATGTTCTCAATGAGACCGAAGAGGGGTGCATGTCAATTTCCTCCACTCAGGTCTCAGATAACACTTAGCTATCTACCCTGTGCTGTGCAGTGTGAGACATCTATCCCCTCCCCCTGCCTCCTGAAACCTGAGTACTTTGAAAGGCTGAGGAGACAGGTACAGCTTTTGTGGAAGGATTTGCATTATTACTGTGCATAGTCAGTGGCTTTAGTAAGGGTTTATTAACACTTTAAGATGTGCAGCATGATTAATACACAACTCATTTGATAAGTAATACAATTATCAACTATGTCTCAACTGACAACTGTACTCTGTAATTTACATATCCCAGAATAAACATCCTACTAAACAGTATTTGGTTCACAAGTTTGCACTAATGTAGAGGTCTGCATGTACACTGAGGTCAAGTTACATGCATTCCTAAGCTTCTTCATTCAAATGAGCCTCCTGAGTTTGTTTTATTTAAACACAGTAAAAAATAATCTAGGACGTACAGTTTTGTTTTGCGTTTATATGCAAACATACATGCATTCACATGTTCCATAGAGGTTTTTCCATCCAAAATCCCTTTGGCACATAGATGCGTTCAGAGTATTTATTCTGCCCAAGGACACACAGATTTATATTTTTTGTTTAATGAAAAAAAAAAACTGCACCAGCACAGCCTGCCATAATATCTACAGAACAGAGGCAGGTAAGGATCGGCAACCAAGTTTCCTGGTTGGATCTGCAACCAATGCATACAGTTTACCAAGAAGATCTGGTGTTTTTCACTGAACAAGAATTTAATTTTAAAAGGCATAAATGCCTGAAAAGTATCAGACTTGATAATCACTGGGCATATCTATGGCATTGCCAAATGTATGGTATTGCCAGAAATAATAATATCCAACACCCAGGAAAAAACAAACATGAGTAAAATGTTATCCAAGACCGCGCGGTCGTAGAGGTGGTGGGGTTGGCATGCTCTTGTCACCGCTGAGCACCTTCCACTGAACTAGAATTTACTTCCAAACCCCCCTCTCTATCCTTCTCCTCCTTCGAGGCCACTGCATCTGACTCTTCTCCCCCACCCCTCTGAGGATTGCAGTAATCTATCGGCCTCCTGGACCCGTATCCCGCTTCCTTGACGACTTTTCCGCCTGGCTGCCCTTCTTTCTCTCCTCTGAGCTACCCACCATCATCCTTGGTGACTTCAATATCCCTATCAATGTCAACAACCTGGCTACATCCCAACTCCTCCACTTAACCTCTTCTTTTGCACTCACACAGTGCACACAGTCCCACCCACACCGATGGGAACACCCTGGACCTCGTTTTCTCCCATCTCTGCACCCCCCACAACCTCACTAACACCCCTTTCCCTCTCTCTGACCACAACGTCATTACGTTCTCCATCTCCCCATCCTCTAACACCTCGCCCCCAAAACGTCAAACCATCACCAGCCGTAACCTCGGCAACCTGAACCCAGACCCTCTCCACTCTGCAGCTGACTGTCTGTACGACAGTATCCTTCCACTGTCATGCCCTGACCTGGCCACTGCTGCATATAACAACTCACTATCAGCTGCCTTAGACTCCTTAGCA